CAGATGTAAGTAGAGGCCCAGGCTTGAAAAGCACAGGAAACAGATAACTGAGTGACGGGATCATGACTCAGCGTGTGTGCGTGAGTACATGCGGTCTGTGCTCAGCCACGTATAGTCACGGTAAACTTAGTATGTGTGTGTGACTCATGCCTGTTACTAAAGTGAGTCATAATAAGTCCAGCAGTGAGTCACATGGTCATCTGCACACGTTTAAGGTCAAAAATGAGAATGTTGTGAAAGAATTTTGTTTCCTTCTGTTTCACTTTCATTTTAAAGAACAAAGAGATGAGAAATACAAAATCCAAACAAAGCATAATGCATAAGGGGAAATCCTGTGTATTATATACAGGAGGAGATATGTAGTGCGACCTCTGTATGACAGGGCTGGTGTCTGCATGTATAATGGATAAGTATGTGTAATAACTTATGGGCTAAGAGGGAGAAATGGAGCACTGGGGCTCTCAAAGCTCAAAGGGTGGAGGGACCAGCACAGAACAAGACAATTCTGCCCTCTAGTGGTAAAATATATATTATGTGTGTAGATTAAAACTGCAGCAAGCAAACACCTGTGCATTACACAGCTTACAGCAGCGGTGCCCAACCCCCGGGCCTCGGACCGGTACCGGTCCGTGAGTCGTTTGGTACCGGGCCGCAAGAGTTGAGGCTCAGGTGTGAAATGTATAGTTTTCAGGGTTTTTATCGGTTTTCAGCGTTATTTTGTTATCGTTTTTATCGTTTACTCAGTTTTCCTGGTCTTTTCACGTGTGTTATGAATAAATTTATTTTTTTCGGTACCAGTACTAGTTTTATTTTGTTGTATTTATCCACGACACCTTAAAGGCCGGTCCATGAAAATATTGTTGGGCATAAACCGGTCCGTGGCGCAAAAAAGGTTGGAGACCGCTGTGTTACAGTATAACGGATCATTAGGCACGACCAGACAAGACTTCTTGGGTCATGTAAAAGTTATTTGAAAAAAAAGAAGATAAAGATGAACATTTCATCCCCTCTGTAGGACTCTTGGTAACACCACTGGGTGTTTATTTATGCAGTTATAGAAGCACACATTTAAACATGGTCACCGGGACACGATACATGTACAGAATCGCACACAGAAAAACTGCTGAAAAGTTTTTTCCTTTACTTTAAGTTTGACTCTTACCAACATCCATCAGATTCCAATTCAGGACAATACAAATTAACCAATTGTAAAATAAATAAAATAAAGATTCATTAATCTCCAGAACCGAAATCTCACCAATTTTAATCTACATTTGGACAATAAGTTAGAGCCCATGTGTCAGCACTACCTTTACCCCCTTTGTTTAGCCCAGCTTTAAAGTTTAGAGGACATCTGATCAACCCTGAATCATTACTATTGTGTTTCTGTCTTTCACAGTTCGATGTTAAACAGAAGGCACAAACAAAAAGGCTGTTTTTCCCTTTATGTTTGCCTCACTATGAGTTTGTGAGCCTACTCTGCCACCGCTGTCACCTCTGTTTCTCAATCCTTTTTCCTTTAGTCTGCCAACTATTGTTGCTCCTCTTTTAGCCTCCTAACACAAAACACAACATAAACCAGTACAACCACTAATCAGCCATGACCAGATCCACAGTAACGCAAGAAAGGGATGTGAACTGTGTCACAACTGATTTCCTGGTGACTGGGGGTGCATTTTTGCAGTTACTATGGAGATGTCAAAGTGTGGCCAGGACAAGCTCTTTTTTAAAAAACATTTAGTTGGACCAGCTCTGCAGGTTACACCCACACTGCCAGACTCACAGTTTATAAGATAATGTGTTTGTGTTCACGGTGCTCAGAGCTGGCCAGTGAAATGCGACACCGTGTCTACAGTTGAGTTAAAACTGTCGTGTCATATCTCCTCATAGTGGGGCGAGAGCTGCAAGTCGTCCAAAACTAACCGAGAAAGTCCAGAGAACACAACTTAGGTCATTCTTTAGCAAATCCTCTAAACTTGTTGGGCGTCTTGTAATTCTGCACGACTGGTAATGGCGTCACCAGGTAACGATCGGTAAAAATGTGAGCATAAAGAGCAGCTGCCAGGATGGTCCCTCCTATGACCCGTCCATCTACTACTCGAGTTCATGGAGGAACAACACACAATCTTGTCAGTAATTATATCAGCTCATTAACCTCGATTTGACTGGGATTATTTCACTCTGGTCTAATTGTTTGGCAGATAACAAACGAACATAGCGACCCTCCTCTTATAAACTGCTCAGTATTTGCTGCCACAGAAACACGGGGAACAGCCAGCTGTGGTCTCTAAGGGGCTTTGTCTCAAATCTTAAATACTCGTTTTTGTCGAGCTCGATTAGAAAAGAGAAACAACGTTTCGACTGCATGGACCTCCCCGGGTTAAAGCCGCTACACGACACAACAAACATGCTGATGAACAGTTCTGAAGCTCGTGTTTTGTTCCGTGATGTGACCTCACCACAAAATTAAATCATTTGTTCCCAGAAATCCATGGCTACTTCAAAACAAAAACTATTCTGACCATGACGAGCTCTGGCTGCGCTCTCATTGGCTAAGCAGGTTTAGTGACCAGTTTTCCAAAGACATTTGCATTCCAGCTTTGCCAGCAGGTTCTGGTGAGCCAGCGTCGTTAAGGCTCCTGCACATGGAAACCTGCTGGTGGGCCAGTGGGCCTGCAGCTGAATGACAGGATGATCTCTGCGAGGGCTCCATAATGCTGACATCATTTTCGCGCTTTGCCTCAGGGCTGCTTTCTGACTACAGCAGAGCCAACTGCACGAGGGGGGCTACAGCTGACAATGTCATGGCAGGCATTATGAAAGAGGGCTTGTGATTCATTACAGATGTGCTCATCAAGACTTTGTTGTGCTGGCAAACCACGAACTCCAGTTCTGTCTGTGGCTCGAGGATTGTAACAACTGGCAGGTGGCAGAAATGGTAAGACCATTAATGAGTCCTGTTTTCTTAGCTTTCCATGTGCTGTCCACATAAAAGAAAAAAGAACTTACCCATTGCCCAGATCATCAATATCATCATCTTCGTCATCATCTTCATTTGGGCTCTTCCCGCCGAGGTCGCTGTCGCTGAGGTAATCTCCCTTCAGGAGGGTCGGGTTGGAGTCGTCCAGGGATTCGATAAGGTGGATACGAGATGCGTGGCTGATCCTGAGGGGCACTTCTGAGTGGGCGTTACCCGTGGACGGAGCATCGCCAGCTTGGAGACGAGGGCTAGCTTGACCCTGACGCCATGACAGCGGAGAGGAACGATTTGACAGACTGGAAACGGAGAAGGCAGCGGCTTCATCGCTGTCGTAGCACATAGTGCCCTCTGCACAGCTGTGGAAAGACAAACAAAAAGACAGTTTTTAGGTGACGAGAATCATTATTCACAGCTAAATTTTTAACAGACAGGAAATAAAGATCTGTATTTCATTTCCTCTTTGATTTCAATCAATCTCTCCCCTCCCTGTGTCCCCCTCTCTCAGTGGAACATGACGATTTAAAAAGCATGCACGAGCTGAGATGTGCATGCTTGCATATATGTATACATGCAAGCATATTTGAGTTGCATTCCTTTGTGTTGCTCTATGCTGCACATAAATACGTGCCTACTTCATGCTGGCATATATTTGTGTAAATGTGTACAAAGTGCATAAATGTCCTGTTCCAAGCTAGTGCAGCACACCGACGCTTAGTGTCTGCACTGACACTGATGAGAATTAGCATATTAAAAGTTGCTAGCTCTCAAACTGCGTGGCAGCACATGCATTTGCTTGCTACATTAAAATTAATCCTCTCTGCATGATACAGAACAAAGAACCAGCCAATAATAAAGACAGTTTTAAAAGTGCTAATGTTAAACATGCAGAAAGGAAGTGGAGCAGAGCCCACACAGACTTTCACAGGCTTTGTTTGTTATGTTTATTCAGTATATCAAGTAAAATATGTGTAAAGAAAACAATTTGCTTGCTCACTAATCTGCTTGTTTTATTCATATAAATGTTCCCTCCTAAGTACCCTTTATTCACCGGATATGCGACATCACGCTCACACGTGAATCTTCCATTTTTGGGATAACAGCGAGAGATTCAACATTATTACCGTGAAATAAAAATATGAATGGCAAAGGAAATGTAACCATCTGCTGATGTACTCTTCATGAAGGGAGACTCCCACTGAGGGACACAGACAGGACACATAGCAGGAGACTCGTGGACAGGCGGACGGAAGCTCTCAAGGACAAAGTGTGGGGGATATGGCGAACTCAACTAGAACCCAGCCCAGGAAACAGGAAGCACCGGTGCAATTAATCAGCGCATCACTGCTCGTCTTCTAGTGTGTAAATGTGAGTCGTGAGTGTGCATTGGAAGGCTTTGCTTTGAAGCCAGCTTTGAGCTAATCCTGCTCAAAGAGAGCAAAGAGGAGGTGGGAAATTACACACTAACTTACTCACAATACCGATCTTGATCTCAGAGCTTCATGCAGCCAGCTCACCCCAAAACACAGCCGACAAAGTCACTAACAACCCGCCAAACCTACCTGTTACTATTTTTTACTCTGACCTGCTTTTTTTCTTTTTCTTTTGGAAACTGGTTTGTCTGCATGCAGTTTGTTCCAAATTAATACTTTTCTCAGTAATCTTACTTCACCTGCACAACGAGCCTTTTCCCGGCATCTGTGCTACTGTCAGTTATTTTCAGTTCATGTGAAGAGAGGAGAAACAACCCTAACACTGCTGACCTGTGGCTGAGCTGCACCCCTCTCAGGCTGGTCATGGTTTCCTCCAGGTTCTGTCGAAGGTCCAGAACATTCTGCACCGTCCTTTTCCTCTGGGACTCTGGGTCTGCAGGAGGTACACACACGTGAGTGATCTTAACCACAAAAAATTGTCATGCTGCAAACTTAAAAATGTCCATGTGCGTTTGAACAGGAGCTTAATGAATACAGATGCACAATAAAATATTAATTGAAACCCAATCAGTGCTTGCAGTGGACCACATAGGTTAATAATCCTTCAATGTTCAATTCATCCACCCAATGGCAATATCTAGGATTGCATGCAAAACAAAACCAGAAAAAACTCTACAACTATGGACTGAAATGGTGAAACTAGAAGGACTCCTGGATAAGAGAATGCAGAGTGAGCAGGTTTATTTTTCCCCAGATGGTAGTGGAGCAAAATAAATTAAATATGATGCAGACAGACGAAACAACAGGAGGAGGCCTTTAAACCCACACAGATCTAACACAACGCCCTGGTGTTTGCTCATTTCATAGTGCCTCCCTACCCTCTACTTGTTCACTGCCTTTTACACTTCAACCTATCAAGGGACAAACTGACATTTGTCTCCCCCCTTCCTAATATGCTATAATCTACTGAGATTACGCCACGTGGCTTCCTGCTGAGTGCTGTAGCTACACTGCTGTTTTATACATGTACTGTATGTGTTTGTGTGTGAGTGTGATTGCAAATAAAACTGGCTGAAAATTCTTAATATATCAATGCAGATATCCAGTATTTATGCTCAGGAATTTACTACTAATTAATTGAACCTAATTTTACTCAAATGTGTCAAACTGCTTCCACTTTTACTCCATGTAGCCAGAAACAAAGACGCCAGCTCCCTGACATGTTTTTGTGTCGAATGAGGAGACGGTAATAAAAGTGTTATGGTGGCAGATATGGGGCACTCAGTTCACCCCCACGGTTCAGTTCAATAGACCATTAGAACTGACCAGCTGGCTCCTGAGCACGCACAGCAAATGAGGGATAACATCAGATCAGCACATCCATGACCGTCACAGAGTTGTTCTGGCCAAGCAAATACGTGATATCTACGCTTTTTTGAGTGATATGTTTTATTGATTAGCATTCAAATATCTCAGTGAAGACAGAACAAAGATCTACCACAAAGCAAGAAAGCA